TTGAAATATTAATTTGCGTAGAAAATTTGTTTCCACAAGATTTATTGAGTTTCATTAGGAACTAATCTTTCCTATATTCACATCCGTGTAACACTATGATTTCTAAATGAGCTTTGCCAGCGAAAGCCATATTGTTAAAACATTTCGCACGCGTAATTGTGGTATAGTCATTTATCATAATTCAAATCTAGTGATCGAAATAACGAATTCTCATATTAACATTTACACTTTCACACACACTTAATCACTTTAGGTTCAATTTAATTTTGGTAATTCTTTTGTCTCATTAGATTTTGGTCGCAGTTTTTATCGCTCACAATCTACATTCATTTAATTTATTGTTTTAAATGTTCCCAGCTTCCAATATGCAAGAAATTAATTATCTCATTTAAATGCTGCAATTTATGTTTAATTTACCATGTAATTGTATGGTAATTAGTCCTAAAATAAACAATTTTAGAAACAAATTTACTTATTTTATTGTGAATTCTTTTACAAAAGTTTACCACTGCCAATTGTATAGAGCTTGGTTATACTAGCTACTAAGTTTTATTAGGCTTATAGACATATTGTCCTTTTCACTTAATTTCTTTGTTTTGTTCTATTCGTTTTCAACTAATATGTCTTATGTATTTTTGCACTTCTTGCGCTAACATTATCTAATTTAATTTTTTAATCACAGTGGTTGCCTGAAAGAAGTCGCTGGAAAGCGATAAGGCCGCCTGTTGCCCTCCTTTATATTTAATTATTTTAATTACTATGTTTCTGTATCCTAGCAATGAAGTGTTAATAAATATAAATAAAATAAATTCTTTAGATTAACCAATCTACTGCATAAGTAAAATAAAAAAATAAATCTGTTGCGCTACAACATCTTTAGGTCTTGGCCTCAGATTTCTGAATCTGTTTCATGATCATTTTTAAATCTAATAGGTACCTTAATAACCTTCAGTGCCTGTCACTCGCCGTCGACTTTTTGGGTCTAAGACATGTCGGTTTCCTCACGATGGTTTCCTTCACCGTTCGAGCAAATGTTAAATGCGCACTTAGAATGAAAGTCCATTGGTACACAGCCGGGGATCGAACCTACGACCTCAGGTATGAGGGTCGCACGCTGAAGCCACTAGGCCAACACTGCTCTACTGCATAAGTGCCTGCATTCGCAAACACGTTTAGCTTATGTATGTCCACCTTTTCAACAAATCAATAAGACATACCGTTACTAACATTACAGATGAAATTATTGAGGGTCGAAGCGATTACCGGGTTATTAGAAAGTAAACGTTTGTTTAACGCAAAACATGCTTCATGCTTTCCATACGGATCACATTGATCTAAATATCAATTGTTACAGCAATATCTATCTTATATCTAGGTCGTTTAACGCTAGATTAGCGTAAATTTGCATGGAATGTTGATAGTGCAATAATTGCTGTGCTGGTGGGAGCGTCGAAGGAGTTGTTGAGTATTTTTGTCTATTCTATTGATTCTTGTAGCGTGTGCATTTAAAGTAGCAATCACCTAGGTATGAACCTTTGGGTAACATTCAGTTTAACCATAATTCTATTCTTCCCTATTATTTTGTATCAGTGTCAATCTTCGTTTGCGTCCTTCCATGCTTATTAAATAAGTATGTAATTAATCATAGGGCTAATGTCAAGTTGGTATGCTTGTTATGAATTTAAAAATAATATCTCTATTAACGAACGAACTCCATTTCCCGAAGGGTGACAAACGAATTTATTTTAGTCATAATGAATTTGTTGCGTGAGGAAGCGTATTTATTGGCGCAGGTTAATGGACTATAATATGTTTGTTAAACAATGACGTTTATTTTTGTTATGTTTGGGTTTAGACAATATGTTATTAAATCTTCCTTAATAAAGTAGTGAACTTATTTATTTTGTAGTCATTGTATTACTCTCTTAAAATCATAAATTAAGTTGAGCTAATCTGTAACACGACATTCATTGACTGTTAGGCGGTATGGAGTTCGCCGAGTCAGCTACATTTTAAACTAAAACAAAGTGTCGTATATATGTCGCAGCCAACTAGCTTAATTAGCCGTCAATGAACAGCCTTTAACTAACGGCCTGAAAAATGTCCCATGATTAAACAGTGGCAAATGACTTGATCGATGACGTTCATTACTTGCCAGCCTGTTGACTGTTAATTTAAATTTAATTCCACCTTCTGCCACTCTTAAATTCAACGAAACTCTTCAAATGTCGATATGGTATGTAACAACTTTGATGGTGATATCCAAATTTTCATGAAAAACAACAGTACAATGGAAGAGTGTAGTGACAATAATAATGTGAATTTGACTGAAGCAATTTGATTTTAAAAGAAATATTTTTTATGTATGTCATATTTTTTATTTCTGCCAAATAATGACTCTATCGTACGAATGGCCTAAGAATGAATATTTTTCAGGCCGTTAGTTAAACGGCGCCGTTTAGTTAAAAGGCTAGGCTGTTAATTGAATGGCTAATTAAGCTAGTTGGCTGCGACAAACATACCTAGATATTTTCAACAATATATTTATTAGCGTTGAACGGATCCGGCACAAGGGGAATATTTATGTCAAAAATATATCTTACTTGACATATAGGAATCAGTTTTAGCACGGCTTTATTCTAAATCTTACCATTAGTGTCTAATCATAGGGTTTTACAAAACTGATTTATATATTGCTGAGTACATGCGCAGTGCGCATGCATCACTAGTTATCGTGTTCATTACAATAACAAAACGGAAACGCAAGCGTTTTCATTACGTTAACCACAGATCATAATATTATCAGACGTAGACCATTGCCAAGGTTGTGTAAGTTGATTTCATTAATATCGTTTGTTCGTATAAACTGAAGATTTAATCACTTCCACCGTTCGCTTTGTTTTATTTTCTTTAACGAACGAGATGAATAAGAAATGTGATGCGATGTGGAATCTGCTCTCAGTGGAGGTCTTAACAAGGAGATACGAATAGTGATTCAAGAAAAAACCCTTACATAAAAATCTCTGAACTTAACTAAAAGTTGAAAAGGTGCCACAAAGGCGGAGTCAGCATCTTAAATACGTGTGGAGCCGCCGATGTTCATGGGCCTATAAAAGCTCTGTTGTATTGTTTATAGAGTCAAATTGAAAGTGTTACCTTCGCTTGTGTTAAAACTACCAGTATTTAAAGCAAATTGGTGTGAAACTATAAAAATAAATTGCCCACCCGCAGTCACTTTCCATGCCCTTAGATATTTGTCGAAAACAATCGGTTTGCAGTGAAAGTTATTGAATGGTAGGGCCTGTATATTTGTCATGGTGGTATTTGGTCTTCGTGGTTTACTCTACGCTAATGACCTAAAAACCTTAACTTAAGAGTACGCATTAGGTACGATGTGTAGCTTTAAATTTGACTGTCCGAAAAAGCGATGTTATATATAGAATTATCTAGTTATATAATAAAAATAAATCAATTACACTGCATTAACTCAATAACGTATTATAGATTATCTTTATCGCAGAATAGGTAAACATAATTTGACAGCGACGGAAAAATGTGTAATAAATGCTCCTTGATGTTTTAAACGAAAAAAGTTTTATGAAGTTAAAATAATACATCATTTAAGCAAAATAAAAATTCTACAATCAAAAATTAAAAGCTCATTTCAGATCTTTGAAGCTGTCACCAGTCACACTTCAGTGAACCCATTATTGGAGTGACAGCTTCATTAAATCAATTTAAATGTGTATTATTATGTACCAAAAATGTAAATAAAACATTACTTATATTATTATTATACCCTGTGAATCTCGTAGGCCTAATTTAAATGACATACATACAATACAAATATGTTAAGCTTAACTGTAGTAGATCTAATAAAATCCTAATAAATACTAAATTTAAAGTTCATAATTTAAACTATATCAAATAATTATTTATATAGAAAACAAAATATCAAAAACCTACAAAATCTTAGACATTCATTTATTTTGTTACTAAAATAATGTTGAAATCGGGAAACACACATAATGAGATTATCTCCTTGTTGAAGACAATTAAATAACATTACTTTCTATCAATAAATTTCTTAGAAAATCTTATTTGGCTTTAACGTTTTCTTTATAAATTAAACCTTTTAAACCGATTGCTACATTCCGATATGAAATGTTTTATGTATCACGTGCCTGTAATCCAACAGCCATGAAATGCGAATATAATAAATTTGTAACGCGATGAAAATAATGTCTGATTCTGATTACCTATATTTTAATTAAAAAGATTTTAAAATATATATAATATTTTTCTAATCTTAAAAGTATTATCCACTTTTCGTTGATAGAGTGGATGGTTAAAATATTAAATTAATGATTACACCTAATGTACCGCAAAAATATTAACGACAGTTAAGTTTACAATAACTTAATTCATTACATTTATTCTTAAACCAAATCTAATTCCGGGTTTTATTGTTTTAACAAATCAACAATTGAAACTGGTCTGTTAAATCAAAAATTACATAACCCCCGAACTAAACTCATTACTAATTTCTTTACAAATGTATTGTATGTATTAAAAATAATTGTATAAACATTTTACGTATACATAGTCTGTATTTTTGTATAACTTTTCCTGTAGATGAACACGTTACAATTGTCTCATACCATTTTTTTTATGTTTATCGCTCATTAAGCTTTTCTTGTTACAGAAACAAAGCAAGCCGAAAAGGAGGGACGGGAAATACCTGTAAAAACAAAATGTGACCACCGACACACTCACCAAAACCAAAACAGAAATTAGTTCTTCAAATTCATGAATCTATCTTGATTACATGATTAAGACATCTTATTTATTAATTAACGATTCTAGTCGCAATAGTTTAACGAAGATTTAGTAATACATTGGAATTGAACCAAGGGAATAAGTACAAAGAGAGTACAAAGGGACGCTAATTTTTGGTTTACATGTAAATTGATTTATTGGTTCCCGGAAATTGATACAAAATGTCTGCCAGTAAGTATTTTTTATTGCTTCTAAAATTTCTCCTCATAAGTCATATTTAAGCTTATTCAAACCAAAGTAGACCTAAGTTAACTTAAAAAGCACTTTTGTTTGGACACAGACGGCTGATCATATGATTATTTCTATTTATCCAGCGTCGCCTTGTATAACCTGCCTCGTCAAGCATATAGGTTTGAATTGGAAAGAATCAATAATTAAATAACTGTGTCCTCTCTTAATAATTTAGTTGAGTACAAGTCTGAACGAAAGTTATTACCAATTTTCTAAATAAAATTCCAGGTTTCGAGAATTCGGCTATGAAGAGTAGCTTCTCCCTGTCTTCGCTGAAGAGTGCCGCTTACCCCAACGGACTTTGCGAACAGCTTGAGAGGCCGTATCATAGTCTTACCAAAAAGAGGTAATATAAAATTATATAGGGCAAACCGCTTACGTTGTATTGAGTGCAACAAACATCCATTAATTCCAGCTGTACTAAAATAAACCATTCAAGAATAAATTATTACCGATAGAAACGATAAATAAACGTAATAAGTATGGATATCATTTATAATTGCTGGACGGTGGTGGAAATCAGCAGTATAAAGTGCTTAAATGCGGCTGTATGTATTAGGTAGGTACGGTAGGCTAATTCATACAAGCCTGTAAAGAAAATACGATTTTTATTGGAAGTTATTTATTACGTAATCGTTTTTGAAGTTATACTTCTTTTGGCGCGAAAAATGTTGAGAGTAAATTTTTACGATGCGTGCGCACACTGTCACATAAAACCGACACCCGCACACCGTCACAAAAAACCGACACCCTGAAGTTAGCATAGTCAGCATTTTAAAATAAAAAATGTCCGTTTCTTTAATTATGTAGAATTTTTTTTTGTGTAAATAAACTGTATTTAACTAGATTGCGTTATAATAAAACTTTAAATGTATTAAATATTTGTTTCTATTGTTAGTGTAATTTTTTCTATAAACGTTGGTAAATTAAGGCGAAAGCTAAAAAAATTATTAAGATTTTTATCTTGTTACGCTAAAGAAGTATAACTTCTAACGCGTGTACATACTCGTAAGTACGTACGCCATCAAGCTGATTAATTCCCTATTTAAGTTCACTTAGGAAAGTAACGTATATTTAGGCATGCGGGTAACGTTTATCTTGTCTGGAATGTTGTAATGTGTAAGGTAACTAATCTATAAACACATATTTCTATCCTAGTTTTTAAACGCTAATCAGGTGTTATCGAAGGAAGTTTGTGTAATACAGTGATTAAGAAAGAATGACGCGTTTTTGTAAGTTGACATTACGTCTAATAGTTGATGTATTGTTACTTGTAGTATGTCGGCGCGAACGCTTGATTTTGATAGGCGTCGTTACGAGCGTGAACGATTTTTAATATAAACGCAATAATAATAAGTGTGTAATGGTAATAGTAGGTATCTAGGATTTATATATATATAATATAATAATGATATATTGCTCATAATTATTATTCAACAATGTTCTTCTGCTCCTACAGTTTCTTTTTGTGCATATTTTTTTCCTTAACAAAAATCATAATAATTAATAATTTATTTGGTGTGCTGTTTCTTATTACATACGTATATTATCATAGATGAATTATTTCTCTAAATTCTTCCAACAATTTCTTATAACTCACTCAAAAATAATATGTTAGGTCTTTGCGTATCCCTGAAGCGAAATAAAAACTATAAAATCTCTAAAAAGATCTTTTTATCCTATGAAACGCAGTCATTTGTTTTTCTCTTATTAATATTGTAATTGCTAATTCCAGGAAAGAGCCATGTCGCGAAGCATGGCGCAGAAGTTGGGGCTCAGCAGCGAGTGGTGGCAGCGTGGCTGACGATCTGTGGCCTCTGCTTCAGCATCATTATGACTATATTATGGATAACCAAATCATAGATAGCTGCAAGGTAAGAATACTTTTTTGATAGAGTTAAAACGGGAGATATGGTTGGTAAATTTGAGCCCATAACATGTACGATACACAAGTACACACGATAAAATACAAACTATGTTAGAGACCTTAGTAGTAATACAGATATATAGCGGTAGGGGTCATAGTTACAAGTAATCGAACAAAATTGATTTCCTAAAATATTGGTCGTAAGTGCTACGGGTTTTCTTTGAGCATTAGTGAATGTCCGAAGCATACGCTTTCTGTATGCTGTTTACGAATGCTTTTGATCGGTGTATGTTCGCGCTTTCATACAGTTCCAGATATGTATAGGGAGTGCTTCTCAAGTTTATCATAATTATTTTTGATAGTGAAAATTATTAACTTTCCTAACTATCAAATAATATTAACCAATTCCAGGAAGCGAACGGCGAGTTATTGTCAAATAACCCGTCAGTACTGCAAAATAGACCACGGCTTCTTAATCACACGTCCACCTTCAACCGCCAATGGTCGCTCAGTCAGCTGATATCCGAGTTCACTGAGCTCTGTCAATGGCTGACACATGTCCAAGAAGAAATATATTCTAGTCCAGAAAATTTGTCCAGCAGGAAACTAAGGACGGTCAGTGAAATTTTGTTATTATATATTTTAGTTTATTCATAAATAGAATTTGGTAATAGTTTAAATTTTGTTTTAATAGCAATAAGTTCCTTAAGAGCTGCGAGCATTAAAAACAAACTCAATTTCATGTTAGTACAGTAAAGTAGGCATTTAAATAGAGATCTAACAAGATTTTTATATGAATTTGTTTTTAATTTAATATGCAACTAGAACTTTTTCTACTAGTAGAATTACTAGGAATAGGAATAGTACTTCTTGCGTGTTATTCCCACGAGAATTTAAGCGCGTGCTCCTATTTCACCATGCCTCCTGCTGATAGAGGACAAATCGTTGTTTTTAATTTATTTTACTATTACTAATTACTTAAGATGTCATGTGGAACATGGTGTAATGGTTGCAGCTCCTTACAAACGTTGTGTAAAATAAAAAACTTGGCAATTAAAAAGAGCGGCGGAGAGTTTATTGCCAGTTCTTCTCTTCCGTTCTACGCCCTTGATTTGACAACTGGCAGTAAATGTAAAATTAGATTTATATATTTTTTTTTACGTTCATAAGTCTATATTGTGTTACCTATATATGAATGAATGATTTTGAATTTTTATGGTGCAATATCTATAGCGATAAATTTTTAAACTATGACTATGATAACTTTCACATTATGAAAATATAAGTATTGTTATGTCCACATATAGCTTGGCAATTTAAAGGCTTATTCATTATATTTTACTATCAATTAGAAAGGATGATTTATTTTTGAACATAAACAATGTCAACTCTATTTCAGAATCGTATGTCTGAGCTGGTGTCAGTTGAGCCACGTCGCGCGAAGTTCATCGAACAATCCTCTGCCATCCTCGACAGAATACCCGAGGCAGGCGCTGAGGTAACTCTTTTTGTAAAAATCCTGAAGTCGAGACGTTAAGATATATTCTTAACAGAAAACGTTATTTTCTTATACAACGATTACTTTTTTAAGGAATAGTTTACTTCTGGCTATATTAATATAAATAAATTACGCGTTACGTTGTTTGTCCGCTATGGACTCCTAATCTACTTAACCGATTTCAATCGATTTTGCACACCGTGTGCAGTTTGATCTAACTTAAAAGATAGGATAGCTTACATATATATTTAATTCTACTGTACGTGTGTATGTCTCTGAACTCCTCTTAAACGGCTGGACCGATTGGATGATTTTTTTTGTATGCGTTTGGGTGGAGCCCTGGATGGTTTAGATTCACAAATCAGCCCGGCAGATGGCTTACTCTTATACTTTGTTTAATATCCTAATCGCTTGAAATATCATACAGGACAACGTCTGTCGGGTCCGCTAGTAATTGTATAATGATTAATATTATGTCTGTAAGCCTATATTTGTTTCCCATAAAAATAGTTTCGGAACTCTAAGTGCTTATTAAAATGTATTTTTTGTAGCCAAGTATTTAAACGTTGCGTTTTGCGAAATCCAACTTAAAACATCCGTGATGAATGCATTGCATTTACAACGCGATTGATCAACCGATCTAAAGTAATGTCATGTAAAAGTCTGCATGAATAATGTATTGTATTCCAGGTGGGATGGCGCGTGGAACATCTAAACGTGAAGTGGGAGAGTCTCCGCCTGCTATTGAGTCCAGAACAGCAGCAGCGTGATGGAGACAACTCCGATACAGTTGGTTAGTTAAATAATTAATGTTCGTAGCCTATAAAAGAATTAGCTACTTAAATATGGATAGTTTTCTGTAAGTTTAAGTGTGAATTTTATAGAATTTGTTGTGCTGTTTCAAATTTTCAATGTCACAAGGTTGATATATTAGGGCCTTACATATGAAATTGGCGTTTTACGTTTTGGTCACTTTGACCTCAAATATCTCCTTTTTGGTTAAGAATTCCAAATTAAAATTTGTACAGCTATCTACTATATAAAAATAAGTCGGGTTTTCCTTCCTCACGCTATAACTCCGGAACGCACGAACAGATTTCCACGGTTTTGCATTCGTTGGAAAGGTCTCGGGCTCCGTGAGGTTTATAGCAAAGAAAATTCAGGAAAAATTTCAACAGAAAAGCGGGATCACCAAACGAAATGTTACATAAAACGAAGCCATCTGGTGGCGAAACGGAGTTCGCCGAGTTTGCTAGTTTACTCATGTATTTGTGCTTCGATGACCGTCATTTATTTGTTTTTTTCTGTTTGCGTCACTCATTTTACAAAATGAAAAACTTAAAGTATCGCATTATTTACGAGTACGAGTTCCGCCGTGGCACTAGTGCTGCGGAAACGACTCGAAGGGTGAATGATGTGTATGGCGGTCATGTTGCAAAAGAAAACACAGTTCGTTTTTGGTTCCAACGTTTTCGTTCTCGAAATTTCGACCTGCAGAACAAGCCCCGTGGACAGCCTGAGACTCAAGTTGATAATGAAGTATTGAAGGCTATTGTGGAAGCGGATCCATCGTAAACCACGTCCGAGTTAGCTGCAGGCTGCGGTGTTCCGTGTTAGTGATAAAACTGTTTTAATTCACTTGAAGCAAATTGGGAAGATTAAAAAGCTTGAAAGATGGGTACCTCACGAATTGACTGAAGCAAACCGGCAAACGCGCGTCGACTGCTGCGTTACATTACTGAACCGGCACAATAATGAAGGTATTTTAAACCGAATCATTACCTGTGATGAAAAATGGATTCTTTACGGTAATCGGAAGCGCTCAGCGCAATGGTTGGTTCCTGGCCAGCCAGCCAAATCCTGCCCCAAGCGAAAATTAACCCCAAAAAAGTTACTTGTAAGCGTTTGGTGGACTAGTGCCGGTATTGTTCATTGCAGTTTTCTCAAATCTGGCCAGACTATTACGGCTGATGTCTATTGTCAGCAATTGCAAACCATGATGGAAGAGCTAGCGGCTAAACAACCTAGGCTGGTCAATTGCTCCATGCCACTGCTACTTCACAACAATGCTAGACCATACACTACACAACAGACGGCTACCAAATTAGAAGAGCTTCAATTGGAATGTCTAAGACATCCTCCGTACTCCCCGGACCTTGCTCCAACAGATTACCATTTTTTTCGAAATTTGGACAACTTCTTGCAAGGGAAAAAATTTAACTCTGATGGGGCAGTCCAAATCGCCTTCACAGATTTTATTGATTCCCGTCCGACTGGTTTTTATAGTAAAGGGATCAATGAACTACCTATGAGATGGCAAAAGTGCATAGAAAACAATGGTTCATACTTTGATTAATTAAATATATTATATTTAAAAATATTCGACTTTTTGTTCCTCCCATACAAAACGCCAATTTCATATGTAAGGACCTAATATATTATAGTGAATAGATGCTTTTGAACGCCATTTTTTAAATGAATATTACAAATACGAGCCATCTAGTGATGGTGTTACATAAACTGTTTTATGTGTGTGCTGCCATCTAACATTATTTATTAGTACTACAGTAGATTATGAGCCTCTGCAATTTAGGTTTTATTTAAGCAGAAACCCGCGGTTTTACTTTAATTTATACCAAAATTAAACTATATTACAAATGGAGATGAGATAAATTCTTGTAATAATAAGGAATTATGTATTCATATCATTAAAAAATATTGATGATGATGAATTTTTAAATTTTGATATGCACGCAAAAATATGTAAATCTTAATATTACGTACCATGAGATTATTATCGGCCTTGTCGTGTTCTGATAAACCAATGATTGATTCTATGATAACTTAAGATCACTAAGTTTATACAGGATTAAAGTTCTTTGGAAAATAGTAACATTGTATTGTTCGCATAAGTGAAACCAAATTCATAAACTGTGGTAAGACTTAAAAAAAATCCGATGGAAATATTTTTAGTACCAAGTTGTTTAAACCTTCATTTTAACATGTAATTTGGATAAAATTATTTTTCGATTACATTAATTAATTTGTAGGATATCTGTTTTTAAAAATTTACTATTTTTGATTTTGCTTATTAATCTTTAATGTCTTGTTGGCTTGTGTTGTAGTTAACAAAGCCAATATGAACATTATAGCGATTTTGATTTTGAGACAGCTTGAAGCAAGCTGGTACGATACAGATAATCCTGCTGCAGAATAAGTTAAGTTAAAACAAAAAGTTAGTTTTTAAATTCTGATGTAGATGTTTAAATTTTTAACATATTTGAAAACAAACAAGTGCTTGCGTTATAAAAGAAATATAATATGTTCTTATAGTAAAAACCGGACCTAAATATATAATTTGTTCTCATTGTAAAAACCGGACCTAAATATATAATTTGTTCTTATAGTAAAAACCGGACGTAAATATATAATTTTTTGTTATAGTAAAAACCGGACCTAAATATATAATTTTTTGTTATAGTAAAAACCGGACCTAAATATATAATTTGTTCTTATAGTAAAAACCGGACCTAAATATATAATTTGTTCTTATAGTAAAAACCGGTCCTAAATATCTGAGTTATAAATGTGATCTAATTCATATAAATGCAATTCAAATATTATAATATTTTTGCATTAGACACTGCTCACGAGCTCCGCTGCCTTCGCCGTTGGTTACACGGAATGGAAGGCCGCTTACCGCCGCCCTCCCTAGCTGCTGCTCGCGCCTCACCCTACCATGAGCTGATGCGAAAACTACGCGAACACCAGGTTAGTTCACATTATGTATCAACGGTTTATTGAAAAAATAATTAAGTACCCTTTTGGTGGTTGATATTCTTTCTATTCTTATCAATAATTAAGATCAAACAAATCGTTTGCTTTGAATCCATGAACGATGAAATCCACTCTGCGCAAGGCTCAAGTACTCGCAAGGAAGTTTTGACCAGAGCAGACCAGATGCTTTAGCCTTTGAAATGAATTTCCAAAAATGTTGTTAAAATCAGTCAGTTCACACTTAACATTCATGGTACGGTAATATAAGATATTTTAAATTAGTTTGTTACTGTAGCTTTTGTTTTTATATGATAGCTGACGACAAATAATAGAATATTTTCTCCGTTGACGTGTTCATATCAGTAAGCTGTTTATTTTAGCGCCATCTAGCGAGACAATACTGCTTCCTTGCAACATAGGTACAGTGTATCGAGGAGATTTATGACTTAATTTTAAAACATTTTGTCTTTATTTAATACTAATCGCCTCTGTGGCTTAATGTTTAATGCATCCCATGGCCTTTAGTTATGGGTATGCAATCATAGTATAAATAATAATAATAGCGGTAATCTGTTCGTGTAGGTGCGTAAATAGCCTGTCAAAACGAAACTTCCTAATTGGTATAGCTTAGCTTTTAAACTCCGTAAGTTCTGCTAGCAGAGTTCGGAATACAATCTAAATCAAATAGAAGACTTATGGTATATAAGATAACCTAAGATGCGTGATAATCTTATCAAAAAAAATTGTTTTTTAAAACTACATGCGCGAACTTTGGGCAAGTTGCAGTTTGATCTTCATTTAAAATTCGCTATAGACTGACAAAATAAATTTAAAGCTTATGTTGAAGAGAAACGAGGAATTGATACACGGATATTGCGGATCAGGCCGAACTTATTCCATTTTCTTAGATGAAATTAATTCCATGTTATGCCACGACTATGCTCTAATTATGTTGGTACATTATCGTTATTCGTTGCTGGTGTTACAATAATGAGGCCAGATTATCAACGAGCGTAACTTCGTGACGTGTGCTGCACGAGTTGTTTTACATATAGTGATGCAGTTTACTAACTACTGTCAGTTGGGAAAAATACTTTATTCAGATTATAATTCTTAATTTTTCGTTTTCTTAATATTTGAAGGTTGTGCTTGGAAGTAGCTCTATCCTCGGCTTGTCTCAAGGCACTACGGATTTATATCCATATTATCCGTATATTGTATTTTGATAAGACTTATTCTGGAATACAAAACTCATAGTTTTAATGATGCATGTAATCTTAGACATTAATATATTTATAATTATTACTGTAACACCTTACATCAATATTGTGTTCAACATGTTCCAAGTAAATTAGTGTACTAGTGTACTACGGGTCTTGTCAATCGTAATTAATTACTCAGAGAGTAATAGTTTATAGTAGTTCAGAGATTCTTACAACTATAGATAGCTGTTTACGATATAAGTATTGGATAAAATTTTCTTAAAGTAATTTTAGATTTTTTTCAAATTTCCATGTCTTTTTGACTTGTCTTTTCTTTTTGCTCATCATATGAATCTGTGAATATACCCATAATTTCCTATTTTACAAGTCTATGCACTGTGACAAAACCCTATTCTTACTCCATAGGTTTTGTCACATAATACAGTGTTTACTTTCTTTCCGTACTTTAGTGATAATTTTGATCAAGTCCGATAAGCTTTACTTACAAATGGAACACGACTTACTATTACATTTATTAGTCTTGTTACGTAAACCATGGATATACCACATGTGGAGGGACTTCGATAAGTATTTTCTTATATAATAAAAAAATGTGTTGTGTTAATCTGTACTAATATAATTCAAACTTCGAACGTCATCACTTCAATGAAGTAATAAAAAATTTTATGTATAGTAATTTATACCGTATATTATATTGGGACAGTGTGGGGATAGTGGGTTTCAGTTCAGAACAACCACATAGAAATTTAGATATTCCTAACTATAAACACGATTATGGACGTAATGTTTCCATAAAAGTCGTGCTGCCGTCCATTAAATTATATTTAAATCTTAATGAAAGGTGACAGCGGTTTTCTAATAAAACCATGGTTAGAGACGAGTTTTTCTCTTACCATACAAGCTCTGTAATTAACATTAGAAAGTTTATCTCGTGCTCATCAGATGACCTGTATTGTTTAATTGGCTTATCATTTTCGCACGTGTAATGAGCACGTAAAGCTCACTGAATGGATAATTAAATTGTTAGCGTTGTCGGATGAAAGTGATAGCAAGGATCTACATGCAGTAAAAAACAAATGTGATATAAAAATCTGATAATGCGTTTTTAGATAGGTAGGTAGGTATATATATATTATATTATTTTTAATATTTATTATTGCTTAATATATTATATATAATCTAAATAACAGAAAACACCAAAAATCAACTACCTTGGTGCCTGAAGGGCTACAATACAGTACAAATTTTAAATTCCTTATAAACTGAATATCTTTTCAAAATAGAATTAAGACAAAAAACAAAACAAACGGAGAAAAACTAAACGTTATACCTTATACATAATATTGCATCTATCTTAAATTTAAGGAGCCAATTTATCGAGGTTTAAAAATGGTACATATTATGCATTACAATGTGTAAGATTTGGGAACCCTTTTAAGTAAAAAAATACCTGCGTTAGATAGGGTTAATTTTAGGCCTAACCTTGTTTTTAGAGGACCAATTATTTTTGATGTGTGGGTCAGTGTAAAGCTAAAACCAAGTTTGTGGGGTCGCCACCCCTTGTCCCACGGCCGCCATTTGAAAATAGTGGTTGAAAGGTTTTTATGATATATCTCTTAAACTATTTATTTGATAAAAAAATTTGTTTACATTTTTGTTGCAAATTAAATTCTCTACAACTTTGGTCAGTAACTTTTTATCGTAAAACTATAAATAAAAAAGTTTAAGTGAAAATCTTCAGAATTCGAGAAAAAAATTTATATTTTTCGATATAACTTTTTTATCATTTTACGAAAAAATAATATCAACCTTTATATCGATCGTTTTTGGGAACAACTTTTTTTGATCATTTTTTGATTAAGTTAATAGCTAAGGTTTTAAGGCTCGTTCCATTGAAATGTACAATTTGAGGGCCAATTTTAACATTGTTAGAGGACGCAATGTTATTTATGGGAACTGTAGGGGCGGTCAATACAAGAACCTCAAGTTTGTGGGGTTGGCGTGCTGTCCCCGGCCGCCCTTTTGGAAAAGGGGTAAACAAAAGGTTTCGGGCCATAAACTTGTAATGTTTTGAGCAAATCGCTGTGTCTACATATGTCTCTTTATGTCGTCTCTTTAATTATGTCGAATCATATAAATCTCTGTGAAACACTCATAGGGACATGATTTGAATTGGTTTATAGAAGAAGATCTAAAAATAATAACGGTTAGGTATATATAGGTCAATCGGATAGAGCCTTGCAAATAATAATTCAATTGACTAAGCAATCCAATATATTCGCAAAGTGAATCCGAAATCTGCTATACATTAAGAAGCACAAGAATTTACTGATTCGATTTGTAAGACTTTCTACTGCTTATGGGAAATGTTCAATTTGTTTGTGAATCTAATTGTAATTTGTCTTCTAGGGTTATTAGATTTGAGAACTATACCTATATAATCGAGGAATGTAACCGTAATTTTACTATTCTGTGGCCCATAGATGCTATGTATAATTTAAATTTTATTTCTATATATATATTAATAATTTATAATATTATATATCTTAATTACAATGTACCAAAACGTAGATTTGGTGCCTAAAATATGCTTTGTATATGAAAGAACGACTTGTAACAATAATGTTAATCACAATATTTTGAATATTTTTTGCTGAAGTCCTGCGCTGCTCAGGAAAAATATATTTAAAAGTCACGTTAAAATGGTTTTCCTATTATATTTATCTTCTGAATTAAATATTTATGTTCAAACTAGATTCTGCCACAATTTCGATCGCGTGGGTTTCGTGTATTTAAGCAAGACTTTTTGCGACCTCTTCAACAATTAATATCTTAAAACCAAAATAAATCTTGACTTCTCAGGAATTTATACTATCTATTGTTGAAAATTGTACAAAAATATGTTCAGGTTCAGGCTCATTTTATAAGATGTAATATCTTTGAATGTCAACTTAAAGCAGTATAAAAGCTGTCCAATGGTATAACCGTAAGACTTGACTATGAATGTGCTTAGCATGAACAGTTACCATTGAAGCTTCATAGCCTTATCATAACACAATCTATAAATCATAGACAGGTACAAACAACGTCCATTTCCTATGATTGTATTTAAAATCCACCACGCTATCACCATTTCTCCTTGCTCGTAAAGCGCGCACAAACGCTCAATAAATCACAAGCATACGTTATGGAGATTGTAGGGAGCCAATTTTTGAATTACGCAAATGCGTTGGTTATTTATTGCTAATTCGTAAGATAAGTAGTAAATAAAACGTTTACGACTAAAGATGGCCACTTAGGTCTTGAACAATAAAGAGGTTTTGATAATTTAAATTTTTAATAATTGATGTGATTTTGTTTTGTGTTCAATGTTCTATAAATGATAAAAGTATTTTTTTTATTTTCAAGCGGCTGTTTTAAGTTTTAAGAGCGGGCATAAATCAAAATCACTTATTTGATTTGATTTTAAGTTTTAACTAAGTGTGTGGTTATTGAATTAAAAACAATAAATATCTATTGATCCTTCACTATAATTTTAATGATTGACTGTTACAATTGCAACTGAATTTATAATTAAAAACACATAAATAAAAAACACCAAGTCACCTCTAATTTTTGACTAATTAAGTTTTTATTCAAGAGCTGTTATTAGCGATTTTATTAAATATTGTATATTTTACGAGTTATTTAAATAAAAAGCAATTGGCGCTTACTTAATTTTTTTCCGCAAAGCACTGTATCGTCCGTCTCATGTCACGTGAACTTTAGTCATACATTTGTTTTACCAGTCAGTGGCGAATCGCT